AGCCAGCACAGCATGCACTGAATAACTATTCGCTGAACAAGTCCTGGGTGGCCGCCCTTGTGGTCTCCCTTCCCCTGGTATCCCTCACCTTTACTTTCTTCCTTAGCCACCAGAAACTCCAGTTATGTATCCCACAGCTTAACAGCATCAAACGGTTACAAGTATACTTGCTTAACCTTATAGGTTGCTAATAGGATATTCTACGAAACACTTTCATGAATAACCCTGAGTTAAAACCAAAACCAAAGACGGACAGGCTTGTTTGTCTATTCATTTTGGCTGTGCTGGGGACTGAACCTAGGGACTTGTGCAAACTACACAGGTGTTCTACTACCGAACTATATTCCCAGCCCAGTTTTCTTTCTTATGGGATTTCTCTTAGCCTATTACATTAAGGCATAATGATGAAAATCTCCAGTAGAGAGGAGACAGTAACTCAGCACTTTCTAAGCTTATCTGAACCCAGGACACTACCACCTTCAAGTGTACTAGAAGACAGGACACTGGCTATAAAGCCCAGACTGGGCTGACTGTCCAGCAGTCAGGTTTCTTTAAGGTGCTGCCGCCACCCTCCCCAGGCATCCATGTTCTAGGATGCTGTTTCAGGACTTCAGGCTTTCCTTTTCTTCCTTATACCTCACCCTGGAATAAACAGGAGCCCATTCTGCCCTACGGAAAGCACGTGTCTGTGAAAACCCTTCCCACTCCATGGAGAGGAGAGTGCCACTGCACCCCCACGGGCTCCAGGGCACGCCCTGACTCAATTTTCAAAGGTCAATTTTAAGTATACACTCACATGCTTCCTTTCTAAGCAAGAACTGAGGATCTTACAAACACAGACCAGGCACCATTCTCTGACACCAAGCATAAGGCATGGTATATTAAGATCCTTGATATGTGTCAAGTGAGTGAATCATTCCAGATTGAAAATAAAATACAGAAGAAATGACGCAAGGCTCTTGCTGACCGTCACGCTGTGACCTCGTCCTGTGAGCTTCCTCCACACGGACTCCTCTCACTCACTGGGCCCTTCTCATTAGTGTTCAGCATCATGACTCTCTCTTCCTAAAACCCTGTTCTCACCCATCTCCTTTCCCTTCCTCATCCTGTCACCCCCTTTAAGAGCAAACTTCTCAAAAGCATTTATTTTCTCTTTTCTGCACCCCTCCTTTGCTCAAGCCCCTGCCCCCAACCTTGCTTCTGAGACTGTCCTAAAACTACTAATGACTTTTTTTTTTTTTATAACCTATTCCATTTTTAGACTAATCTTACTTGGCACATAACCTCGGATATGGCTGACCATACCTCCCCAGAAACCCCGACTCTTCCCTTTCATTCCAATGACAAATAATTCCCACTGAAATGGGTACAATCTTTCTTTAGTTTCAGCTTTATCCATCTGATACCTCTTTTGTTTTGTTTGTTTTGCCTTGTGAAACAGGGTTTCTCTGTGAAGCCCTGGCTGCCCTTCACTTAGAGATCTGCCTCCTGACTGCTGGGATTAAATGTTGCATCCAACGTCTTTTTAGACATTTCTTCTGGGATGTTCTATAGTTCTAGAGGAAATGGGAAATATGAAAAAAATGAGACCGGCTTTGAAATAAAGAGCTCATGAACGAGTTAGAATCAGCAGAAGAGAGAATTAGTAGTTTGGAAGACATGTATCTGAAGAAATTACCTAGAATGCTGAGAGAGATAACAGGATAAAGAATATGACATAAAAATATAAAGAACAGGTTTAACACAGTTCTACCTGTAGACTCTCAGGAGGAACTACCAAAAATAAAAGCACACTTGAAGAGAGAATGGTTATAAGCCAGGCATGGCAGCTCATTCCTGTGACTCTAGCACTTGAGAGCCTGAGGTAAGACAATCACAAGTTTGAGGCTAGCTTGGGTACATAGTGAGTTTCAGGCCAACCTGGGCTACACAATGAAACTCAGTTTCAAAAAAACAACCAAAGAAACAAACAACAAATTGCAGCTTCTGTATCAGTTGTTTCACTTTCTTGTCCTTTTTGGGATCTCTGGCTCAGGGGACTTCAGCTGTTGTGAGGGGCAGCCACGATGACAGGCCCATGTGACAAGGAACGAAGAGCCTTCTCTGAGCAAGCCTCTAAAATGTGCATCTAGGAAGCCGCTCTGGTGACTGAAGCTCTAAGCAACAGCCCAATAACAAGCTCTTAAAAGACAAGGAGAGGTGGTGTACGCCTCTGATCACAGTACTTAGGAGATAGGGATAAGAGAATCCGGAGCTCAAGGTAAACTACATAGCCAGGCAGACTGTAAGAGCCCCTACCAAATCAAACCCAACCCAACCCCACCCCATCCCACCCAACCCCAACCCCAACCCAAACCAAACCACTCTGAACCAGAACCACTCCCATAAACTGGCTCCTGGATTTTGGACCATCAGAGAAACTATGTGAAACAACCCTTCCTTCCGTCCTTCCTTCCTTCCTTTTTTTTTTTTTTAAAATATTTATTTATTTATTTTATGTATATGAGTACACTATTGCAGTCTTCAGAAGAGGGCATCAGATCCCATTACAGATGGTTGTGAGCCACCATGTGGTTGCTAGGAATTGAACTCAGGACCTCTGGAAGAGCAGTCAGTGCTCTTAACTGCTGAGCCATCTCTCCAGCCCAAAACAATGCTTTCTTAAGTGGCTAGATTTTAGGGCAATTTTATATAGTAATAGATAACTAATATAGTACCAGAACCAAACAGTTCTGAATTGCTTACAAAAAGCCTTCTCCATCTGGTCCAGACTGTCTCTCAGCTGCATTTCTTGCCATACTCTCTGGCATGTTACATTTTAAATACACCTAACAACTCGGAGCTTTTGGAACATGACCATGTTCTCTCTCCCACCTCCACCCTCCACCCAGCTTCCAGGACGCACCCTCTGCCTGACACATTCTTCAACACTTTCTTCCCACTTCCATATACTTGGCTAACTTCTCCCCATCGTCAGAGCACTGTACTAAGCTACAGGACAAAGTCTTATTAAACTGCCTATGTTCCCATCAGATTTAAAGCTCCAAAGAGAAGGAAGCAATGCCTGTCTCCATTATACTCCATAACTCCCAGCACACAGAAGATACTCTGCGGATATTTGGTGCTTACATCCCACAAGGTAGGGAGGCAGGAAGGCTAAAAGTTGAAGCATAAACATTCTCAGGAAATGATCCAAATAAGTCTTTCATCTGATATAACTGTAAAGGAACCAAGAACCCTCTGCAGTCCGTGCAATTTCAACTTTGAGGAAGGCTCAAGTAAGGTCAGGGTTCAAAAGTTGGGTGAGTTCCAATTCCTGCTAAGTCGAACCTCATGGTAGTTCTATTCTGGCCCTTGGCTGTAATCTCTAGATACTGGACACACCCATTCTTGAAAACGCTACACTACACTCAGTGGTCAAACAAAAACAGTTTTTAAAATCATCACCTGTTCCGTCTTTTAGGACAATCCTAGCTTATTATGTTGAGATTTAAGATCTGATCACGTATGGCATCTGTCGTATGTGTCTAAACAGGATCACATACATACATATATGCATCAATAAACAAGTCATAAAATATTAAACACTAGTACCCTCTACTGGTGGAAAGACCTTACAGGCTCATGTGAATGGTCATATTGCCCTCTAGTGACCACAACCTATAAAGACAGCAAATCCTGCAGCAGATGGGCGCATCTCCTTGGCTGTAATGATAGGGTTTTATATTCTTTAAGCATCTAATTTCCTCAGATTCTGGTTTATATTACAGGGGTGCAACTCTAAGACTCTTGGGGGCTCCCTGGGGACTCTGTAAAGCTCTTCCCAGCTGTTAGTGACAGGGGCTGCTGCTCTCTCCTGCTTCTCAGGAACAGGAGGTCAAGGGGAGGCAGAGGAGGCGATGGCTGCACTGGTGAGGGCAGGGCAGCAGCTGTGAAGGACTGCCCTGGACTCCCCGGGGAGCTGCGAGCAGCTTGAGGAACACATGTTGTTCTTCCCTTCATGTTAGCCACAGTCGTGTGCTGTATAAACCGGCAATTCAACGCGCTCCCTCCCTCACCTCTGAAATATCTCCAAAGCTGTAATAAATGACACGGTGGCAAATGTTGCTATTGTTTTGTTTTATAAACCAGGCTTCGCCAGATATTGCCACTGATGACAGATTAAGCTGGGTTTCTTTCAAGATTTAACTGAATCACCACCTCCTCTATGAAGCCTTTTTGAAGTCCCCAGATTATAGTGCTTGCTCTATCCTTTCTGATGCATACAGAGTCTCCAGATCGAATGGACAGAGTGTCCTATGTGCTTATTTATAGCTACAGTAGGGTACTGCTGCTGTTTGTCTACACCATTGCCTCTCTACCAAACCCTCAGTCCTCAAAGTCACAACCAAGTCTAAATCATTTTGCACAGTCTGTTACCTGTATGTAGTCTATGTGGTAAGTACAGATATTGGTCACATGCTTTTCAAACCTTATATAATAGCTATTATTATATGTTAGCAACTCTGGTAACTCTAATCAAAAGGTGGGGGAGATATAGCAAGGTGGCTCAGTGGGAAAAGGTGCTTGCCACCAAGCCTGACAACTTGAGTTTGATCCCAGGACTCACATGTTGGAGGGAGAGAACAAACATCCACTAATGCGTCCGTCCTCTGACCTCCATATGTACACTGTGGCAAACATATACCCAACCCCATTCCCAACACACAATAATAAAATGAAAGAAAAAGTTTAAAAGATTGAGGACTGTGTTTTGTGTATTTTCATTTCATTTTAAGAAAATTTTTACTGTATGTTACTATGTATATATTTTACTATTTTACTATATATTACTAGATATCACTATTTTTTAACTATAAATTCCTAGCCTGAGACTAGTACAGTGTTCTAAACAGTAGTCCCCTCCAGCAAGTGTGACAAGCACATACGGGTCAGGTAATTCATGGTGTACAGGAAGGAGGAAGACAGGCTGGAAGTACTTTTTAGAGCCCAGAGCATACCTATCCTTGTCGATCTCAACACCTCCCTGGAGGGAATTTTCTTCTTTAATTCTTGTAAGGCAGCAACTAGGTTTTCTTTGGTTTGATCAGGAAGCTCCAACATAGTTTTCCATCTTTTTATGTCTTCTATAACCACAACTCTCTGCGAAAAAGAAAAGTTATTTGGAAAATGGAATCCTTTCATTAGAAAGACATTTGTCTCCACCTGAGCTAATGGCTCTCCTATTGACATGAATTATTGATTATGACCTGAACCAAAGCAGTGTGTCTGATGGCCCCAAATGATTGGTAATTGCTTAGAAGCAGGTCCTGCCTACTGCAGATCTGCAGAGTTGCATCTATTAGGAAAAGTCCAACGTTTCATCTCATTGTACCAGACACCATGGGACTTCCCTGTGAGAGGTGAAGCAGGAGAGGGGAATGGAACGTGGGTGCTAAGGAGGACCAACCTCACAGCTCACTAAGTGTCCTGATCTACATGCACAGAGCAGAGAAGCCATAAAGCCATGTTTACTTCAACAATAAAGATCACACAAACAGTTCTCCACGTCCCAGAGGAGAAAACTCAATACTTTTTTTTTTTGTTGTTTTTAGAAAGAAAGAAAACTTTAAAAAAAATTTAAACACACAGAAAAGTACAGAGAACAACCCATTACTTAATGAGATTATTTTGCCATTCCTCGTAAAATAAAGCATTATAAAATGTAAGTCCCTACCCTTCACAAATTCACTTCCCTTCACCCTCCCAGAAGCTGCCACCTGAAGACTGATCCCCAGGCTTCCATCAAACACTAGGGACTAGGAATGGGGTAAGGGGACAAGAAAGCTTTTGTACTGTTATGTGATTTTTTTTTTCTGTAGTTTTGATATAGTTTAAACTAAGAACCTTTTAGTAAACAAAATTGGCAGACAAAAAGTAAAAAATCAGAGTAGCTTTTATAATTTAAAATTAAATATGTTAGAGCCAGGCATGGTGACGGATGCCTTTAATCTCAGCACCCAGGAGGCAGAGGCAGGCAGATCTCTAAGTTTCAAGCCAGGCAGGTCTACATAGGGAACTCCAGGACAGCCAGTACTACACAGAGAAACCCTGACTCAAAAAAACAAAATAAACAAACAAACAAACAAACAAACATCTTATCTTGGATGTCTATTACCCTGGGAGGGGCAGTCGAGGGTCAGGAAGGGCCTTAGGAGCTTTGAGGGGTCTGGAAATGTTTATCTTAATGGATGTTCCTCACCACACCTGGCATATGTATAGTTTTTCCACATGAAATTTCAATGTAGCCATGTTATAAAGACAATCCCCATGAAAACCTTATCTCCTTCCCTTGGGCAAGAACATAGAAGCCAAGGGTGAAAGCCGGGTCCATCTGTGTGCTAGCTCCCAGCTCCCAGCCTGGTTGCATTGGTTTTGCTTTCTAGGTTCAAAGCTAGGAGGAAAGCAAGGAAAAGATTTGAGGTCAATCCGGTTTGGGTGTCTCTGAACTGGCCGGCATTTAAAGATGCCTCTTCCCGGACAGGATGACTTCTGCAAGTCCCTGGAGAGCTCTCTGCTGAGAACTCACCTGAAGCACCTACTATATTGGTAATGATTCTTCTAGCTGTCACTTCACTACACGAACGGCACGCGAGTAAGAGGGGGAAGGAGACATGCAGGAAGGGGGGAGCAAGATAGAGTAATGGAATTCATGGGACATGTGAACAGAAGGGGGGCTGTTTTCTGGGAGGAAGAGGTCAAGTCAGGACAGAAGGACAGTGGGAAGGGAGTAAGGAAATATAATTTAATGTATACCAATGCTATAATAAGAGCTGGTGAGACAGCTCAGAGGATACAGGCGCTGCCAAGTCCCAACCCCTGAGCTTGGTCCCGAAAACCTACAAGGTAGAACTACAAGTTGTCCTCTGACCTCCAGACACCCACAATAAATAAATATAAATATAAAAAGGAAGAAAGCGTCAATGAAACCTGTTGTTTTGTATGCTTTCTAAATACAAGATCAAAGTTCCCAGTTTGGAGCAACCTAGTCCAAACTTTCTCTGTAGGGACCCCAGAGGCCTTCTAAGGATCCTGTGAACCTGGCTATTCTATTTAAAGCCAGGCTACTCAGCATTCTCCCCTATGATTGCCTGGAAAAACCTCCCAAGGATAACAGCTTCCACTTCTCCCTCTGGCATTAGCCAGCAACTGTCTGCACTTTGCCAAGCACAGGTCTGGTCTAGGTGTTGACCAACCCCCGGAACAGAGTTGAATTCTGCAACTGAAATCACCACAGAAGCCTCCCACTTCAGACAGAGGAGTGAACACACTCGTCTCTTCTGTTAATTTCCACCTTCTTTATGGCCCATGGCAGGTGGTGGGTTCAGGATTCTGAAACAAGTCTTCGAATACTGCTTGCACATGTTCCAGAGAGATGGTCGAGACTGTCACTTGGACACGCCATTTTACATCTACTCTGTCCTTGGCCCTAAGGAGACTCAATCAAAACTGAGAGGAAAACCTTTTGCTATGTGCTACTGTAGTATAAACTAGTATTACTATTAAATGGTTTTTAAAAAGAGACAAAACCCCGGGCTGGAGAGATGGCTCAGTGGTTAAGAGCACTGACTGCTCTTCCAGAGGTCCTGAGTTCAATTCCCAGTAACCATATGGTGGCTCACAGCCATCTGTAATGGGATCTGATGCCCTCTTCTGGTGTGTCTGAAGACAGCTACAGTGTACTCATGAATGTTAAATGAATAATTAAAAAAAAAAAAGAGAGACAAAACCTAAACCACATAAGAAGCTATTTTCTATTAGACGGTATAAATATCACATTTTTCTCATTCAGTAATATTTTAATGATGTTTCCATAGTAATATTAATTGTTAGAGCTGACCTACTAGGCTAGCAATACAGAATCATAATCCTACTATTGTATACACACATCTTAGACTCTTGAAATCTATTTTCCTAACAGGTACTGGGAGTTTCATCCCCGTGTATTTCTACTGTAGTAAATACTGCCTCGGTGAACTCCTGACTTCTCTGTACACTATCTCCAGCTGTCAACTTTTATCTTCTCTGTCTCTTTGTGCTCTCAGGAGCGGGTGCTGTGCTGTTCTACTCTCCGACCCCGTCCCAGCAGAGTCTAAGGATCTAGTTTACAATAGCCTTACTTCATCCATCTGTATTACTCACCAGAAATATCTTTCCTTTACTTTTTGTCTCCTTTCTTATCATCTGTTAAACAAACTACATTTGTTTTGTTTTGATATAGGTTCAACGCACACCCTACACTGGCCTCAAGTTCTCTATCCTCTTGTCTTAACTTTAGATGGTTGGTACTACTGGTATGCTCCATTGCCCTTGGCTCTGGGTTTTCTTTATAGATTTTTTCTTCATAGTTTAAAGGTAATTGTACTTCTTTCACTTAAATATTGTCATTTTCAGAACACACATTCAAAGAAATTTGGGCTGATCTTACAGCTGTCTTTCAAAACTATTGTTTTTTTCCATATTTCTTTTTTTCTGTGTGATGTTTTCTAAATAATTTCCTTATTATTAAGCTATCAATTCATCATTTTCTCTTTAGGTACTAATCTGTCTACTTTAATTTAATCTTTTCAGTATGTTTCTGCTTCAACAAACAAGTATTTTTCATTGGACAAATTGTTTTGCTTTTCATTCTTCTTTCTTCTCCTTCTCCTCCTCCTTCTTCTTTTTTTTAAAGATTTTATTTATTTTATATATATATGATGAGTACACTATAGCTGTCTTCATACACACCAGAAGAGGGCATTGAATCTCATCACAGATGGTTGTGAGCCACCATGTGGTTGCTAGGAATTGAACTCAGGACCTCTGGAAGAACAGTCAGTGCTCTTAATCACTGAGCCACCTCTCCAGCCCTCATTCTTATTTCTATTCTGTTCCTTTTTAAAATCTTTGTGAACATTACAAATATACTTAAGATTTCAGATTGTTCTCTGATCTCCATTTTTTGGGGATAGAGAATTTATTACATCTACCCATTCACTCACTGTCTTTGTCGCTTACTTTCTCATATGGTTTATTTGAACCATGATTTCTTCTCTAATGAGGATTGTTTTTCTTGGGAGTCTTGTGTGCTCTAGGATGTGAAGTGTCTGAATGGGAAACTCACATCTGCCTGTGTTTTTGGAGTTTCCTGGTTTTACATTAGACTTCATACTAACACTTCAATTTATACGCATGGTAAAAGGTATCTTCGTTTATCTAAGACCCCAAGAAGATGGCAATCTTCACACTGTTTTCTTCAACTTGGCAGGCAGAAGTTTTCTGCTCACTGTTCACAAACATGGTAGACTTCTTTTAGTTTCAAATTCCACTGAGACCATGGATGTCCACTTCATCTCCCAACAGATGAGGCTCTGAGGCCTCCCCCATACTGGCGCTAAGATCTAAGCATTACAGCCACTTTCAACACCCCAAACAACTCAGCTCCATTGTCCACTCACAGTTCCAGTTTCAATTTCCTGTCTCTTCTTAGACCTTAGGATTTCTCTTTCTTATAGTCCAGGCTGTCCTGGAACTCAGTCTGTAGATCAGATTGGCCTTGAACTCAGAGATCTGCCTACCTCTGATTCTCTAGTGTTGGGATTAAAGGTATGCCTGTCTTATTAGACTTTTTTTTTTTTTTAAAGATTTATTTATTATATATGAATACACTGTAGCTGTCTTCAGGCACACCAGAAGAGGGCATCAGATCTCATTACAGATGGTTGTGAGCCACCATGTGGTTGCTGGGATTTGAACTCAGGACCTCTGGAAGTGCAGTCAGTGCTCTTAACCACTGAGCCATCTCTCCAGCCCTCTTATTAGACTTTTAATCTAGCATCTATACGTGGTTGGAAACAGGTTAAGAATCCCAAATCAGATCATTTTGACTTATGGAACAAGTAAATCCAAACATTTTTTTCCCCTCAAGACAGAGTTTTTCTGTGTAAAAGCCCTGGCTATTCTGGAACTTGATCTGTAGACCAGGCTGGCCTCAGACTCAGAGATCCACCTGCCTCTGCCTCCTGGGTGCTGGAGACAGCTTAAGCCTAAATGCTTACACTTGATATAAAAGGTCCTTAGGACTTGCGACCCTGTCAGTCTCATTAGATACCATCAGCAGC